CCTATAGATCCACGCAGCCCTTTGTTGATGCTTAAAATGTGACATTGGAGACAATACTGTAAAATGGCGAACAATGGGAAGTGTTTAGATTTGATAATCACGCGGTTTGAATGGGGATCGGTGATCTTACACTGAACGTGCACGCCACTCGTGTTTTTTTTCTATTCTTTCTTTATTGCTTTACCTCTCCCCTCTAGGTTAGTTTGCCGCAGAAGGAGTCTCGACTCCGGGCCCCAATAACAGTAGCGGGGGAAATATCAGGAGTATTCAATTAGAGCGCTCCACAGCTCTCTGTAGCTGACGTGTGGAAATTGTAATTTCCTCGACATGATTGATGGCAGTAATACAGGACGTCGTGTGAGTGCAGACGATGCGAGACTGTTGTGGGAATAACACCGCCCTCTGGTTATGGAGCTCGGTGCTGACTGGCTGAATCGCCTGGCACAAACACACCTGTGTGTGTGTGTGTGTATATGAATGTGTGAAAGCGTGCCAGGAGCTGTTCAGAGTGGCATGTAATGGAGAAAGTTTGATCAGAGGGGGGCTTTGCCTGGAGATACGGCGTAAAAAAGAAGAGTTGATTTAGCAAACTAACGGGCGGCTCGCTGTTGGAGCTCTGTGCTTTCTGTTTTGATGATGTGATGTTTCTATCGGGCGGCCACGGCCAGGCACTTCATCATAGCTGTCAGACGAAGGCCACTAATCAAGCATCAGATGTCTACCTGTTCAATTGTAATGAGATGAAATGAAGAACTGATCCCTGGTCAGCACTTCAGAGCTATGCATGCGGGCTTGTAGCTTAACAAATTGGGCTGAGGAGTCAGCGAAGCCCCAATGTCACACTGGGCTTGATGAGATGACCGAGATGTGAACAGAGTGAGGTTGCATGTGAATTAGGGATGTGCCAGTTTTAACTTTTCATGCTACGATTATGCTAAAAAAAAAAAATAGAAATAGTTTCATTAGAGCTAAAATATAGATAGAACATGAACGCATCCATGTTTGAGATGTGCAGTTTGACAGTAGAAGGCCATGTTCACATTCATCTGCTGAAGGAGTTTCTCTCAGCTCACCCGAACTCTCAGCTCACAACGTACCAGCAGGATTTGAGACATCACATCTCAGTTTGGAGCCAATTGACTTATGTGTGCGTCTTACACGAGTGTGATGTGTAAACTTGAAACCTTGAGTGCAGTGGAGCTTCAACAGGTAGTCAATTAATCAATCAGTTGTCAACTATTAAACTAATTTCCAACTATTTTGATAATTGATTAATAAAAAACTAAATTCCCTGATTTCAGCTTCTCAAAGGTGAATATTTTCTTGTTTATTTAGTCCTCTACACTGAATATCTTCAAGACATTAGAGGACATCACCTTGGGCTTTCTGACACTGTATGGACCAAACAACCTATATTGAATAAAATGATGAAAATAAGTCATGCAGCCCTACAGAGCACATACACTGAAATACGACACGTGTGACTTTTAAGTGATAAAGATATCTTGTGTCCTGCAGTTAGACTTTTGAAAGAAACAATATTTGCATATTCATAGATTATGCATTTTTTCAATCAGGGAGAAGGAGCCGATATAATTAAAGTTCTTTGTGGGATATCAGACACAAATTAATATTCAAAACAAAGTAGTTTTACATGTTTTAAACCATGTCTGGAGTAAGTTATTCAGTTTTTCCTGTTGGGTGTTAATAGTATTGAAGCAGAATGTTAGAGCATAATAAACACAGCCTGCATCACAGTTATATTAGGGTCTTAAAAGCACCACCCGCCTATGTGCACACCATCTCCACATTACTACTACAAATGCCCTAAACCAGAGTTGACACTGAGTGGTCGAGGAAGAATACAATGTGTGCGTTGCTTCCTCTTTGTCAGTCACGTAAAATGCACGCTCTCTCTCACAGTGAGACTCGGCCCCCCATAAACTAGCCGCGCTTGTTACCATCAGACTGTTTCACCGTGGTACATAGCAAAACTGGTATACCAGCACATCTCTAATGTGAATACACTCAGACAGATTGTTACCTGAGGTGCTGCTGAAGGCTCAGGAATAGGGCAAGGAAAGGACTCTTCACACACTGCCAGGCTCCGCACGAGCTTTAGCCTGGTGTTGGACTAAGGAGGGGGTGCAGGTAGGTGGGCACAGTTAAAACCATGCACGCACACACACACACACACACACACACACACACACACACACCTGCATCAAAATCATCACGCATCACAGTGACAAGCCAAAGTAAAACAGAAACAGCCAGCGAGCACGATCGATTCTTGCAAGCAAATAATACAGTTTCAACATTTCACATTTTAGCTGACAAATCTTTTCCCGAGTGACTGAGCTTCTCGCTTTTAAAATGATTGTAGACCAGTGGCTGCAAATCTTCTCAGATAACTTGATCAGAACAATCTTAAATAAAAAATGGAGTAAGCATTTTCACATAAACTCAAGCCATCTCCTGTTTTTTCCTGAGGGAACATCAACAGCAATGCAGCAAGCACACAGGAAAGGTCCATTTCAAACAGTTGTTTTCAGGCATAATTCAACACCATAGCCTCCACTGTCATTCATATAATGGCATCTCCACATACTGCACTCAGGTAATTTTACACGTCTAGAGCAATGCGCACGGTGACAACTAGCGTGACAGTAAACACAGTGATAACTTCCAACGCAATCCAAGTGCACGAGACAGAGTTGGAGCATCCTTGCACATCATGCATGTCGAGCGTACCGTACCTTAGAGTACTTCACAGGCTGTCCGTAGGTAGGGGAGGGGTGCAGGGAAAAAGTGCACAGGAAAAAATAAAAAATTCAAACAAACCACAGAAGTTTGGAGGGGAAAAGAGGATCGTTACTTTAAGAAAGTGGAGAAGTTTGAATTAAATATGACTGGCCTACATTTTGTGCATGCGTGCGCTACTAGCTCTGCAAAAGAGCAAAACAATTCATACCAAGGCAGCAAAAAAGACAAATAACCTCCTGTACTGCCTGTGTCTTTTAAAGTCTGCTCCTAAACTGAAAAATTTAGGAGCACAGAACAAAAATTTTGCGGCATTGATCTGCGAAGAGAAAATGAAAAATTCCCTGTGCAGCATGAAATCTCAAGTTGAATAGTCACCATTTCCTGCGAGCATGAATTAATTTTGCACAGCATATGCTACCAGAGTGGTTGCACAGCAGAGCCCCTTCGTCTCACACACACACACACACA